CACCACACAACCACATGCGACCTGACCGGATCCTGAGGGACCAGTCGCCTTGGATATAGGTAAGCAAGCTCCGTTTAATATTCTCCCTTTTGACTGGCAGTAGTATAGAACGCTCCCCCTTATTGTTTATTGTAATTAGAGAAATTCCACGCGGCCATATTGAGGCCCGACCTACGTCTGTTCGTTGAAACTCTACTGAATGGGCCCCAGAGGATTTGAGCTTTTGGAGGAGCAGCCGTAGGCCGTAACAGTATGTCATAAGGCTAAAACTACCTTTGGTACGTGCAGTCGTATGGTTGGGAACAACTGGGGCTTGCGTCCCAGTATGATGGCGGCATAGTACAGCGGCATAGAGGTGCTGATTTTTACCTACGCCTTCATTGTTTGGTGTAATAAGGCCAACCAAAAGACGACTGTGGACAGACTAAATAGTCTACAAAGGACTGCCTGTTTCATGGCAACTGGAGCAATGCGACCATCGCCTGGAGCGACTCTTAATGCACTTATATACCTTACACCCCTTAATCTTTATTTAGACTAGGAAACGGGGGCTAGTTTGTATAGGATTAACGTCCAGGGAGGTCTGAGCTTGCTTTCCTACAGATTGATATCCATGCTCGACTCAGTAAAGGAAACACTGCCCTTATGAATGATCTGAGATATCATGCGTCTACTATATATAAGGCCCAGCGACCTAATTTAATGACCAAAATATTTAGATACTCCGGCCTAAGAGAGTTTTGAAAACAATTAGATTACGGCCCAGCGACCTAAAATTATGACATATTTAAATCTATTTTTTGAGTTATATAAACCCGCCAATTTAAATCTGCCAACACCTTGAATGCATCTCTAATTCGGACATTGTCAACTTGACATTTTAAAATAAAAAAATCTGTATTTTTGACGTTTCATCTCATCTGAACGGTGGCGTCGTGGAGATAGGTAAGTAAATCTTTTCATATCTTTATAATCATTACTTACATGGTAATGTAGGAGTTTTATTTAAAACAAGTGTGAAAATGTTATATTTCGTTCTCACGTATTTTTTTTATTGCAAAATAATTTTAATGCAGTAGTTTACGGACGGTAAAAACTATGTCCAAAAATAAGGTCGGTGGATTTTTATTACAAAAGTTATCCTTAACTTCAGTGTCATGATTCTAGGACATTGGGTGTTTACTTTAATATTTCTTTGTTTAAGCCGCGAACGACGAAGATAAAAAAAACCAGCTCAACCTGAGTTTGAAAACGTTGAAGACAACGATGATATTGATGATGTGGATTATCGACCTCAGTGCCGAAATCGTCTCTCAGATAACTCATCAGAATCGTATTCTGATTCTGAAAGCAAGCTTTCAGTTCTTAATTCTCCTACGATTTCTTATTCTTCTATTATGCGAGTTTGGAGCTTACAGCGTCGAGGTGGCCATCAAAGTCGGATAATTTCTTTGATTTCGCGACCGAGTAGTAGCCGAGGAGGCTCATCTCGTCGGAGGGAATATCAAACAAGTGGAGGCTGTTGATCACTGTTGATGACGAGGATATTGCCAGTTACGATGGACTATATGGAGGTTGGATAGAATAGGATTATAATCCCGATATAATTCCCTTTTTGCATCCATCATATTTACCTCTGAACGACAAAGCATTCAGTAAAATTAATTATTTTCATCAATACGTGAAAAAAGAACTAATGCAAATTATTGTAGACATATCCAATGAGATCTAACTATCAAGAAAAGGTCAGTTTATAAATTTGACCCTTTCCGAGTACGACATGCAATTAATTTGGCAATGTTTTGTATTGGATATCCAATTCTGCGCATGTATTGGCAACATGAAGGTGGAGATTTACTGACTTTGATCATTGTGATACGATACCTTGAATATTACAAGAAGACTATTGTTATTGCTGTATGTTCAATTGAGATTGATGTAAAGATTTTAGACGAATTTAATTTGAAACGAATGATTAATACAAATAATAATAATAATAATTATAATGGTAAGGACATTACTTTGTTTTTTAACTTAATATATTTTTTGTTTTATTATTCAAAAGTGTAAAGATACATTGTTTCCTAATAATATGACTGATTTAAAGATTTTGTTAGGTAAAATCATTTAATGAATAAGGTTTAAAATGAAAGAACTGCTTAAATATATTTTTTTTTTTTATAAATATTTGTTTTATATCTGCTATATTTTGTAATAAAAAATTTAATAAATCTAATTTATTCAAACTACTGTTATATTTAAAACTATGACCCGGTGACCTAAAAAAAGAATTAAATTATTTCAACATCTTTTTTGCATGAAATAGTTATCTTTAGGTATAAAAAATACAATTTAAAAGAATTTAGTCAAAAGCAGTTCGTTTAAACACATTATTACTTAATTAAAGTTCTGAGCCGCTACTACTTGCACCTATTTTTAGGATATTGGGACGTAATTTATAACGACCTAAAATTAGGTTGCGCTTTACGAGGATATACTATATACTTTTAATAAAAAGTGCATAGTGGAACTACTCTCCAGAAAAGACTGGCGGAATGGACAGGTTATCTGTGAAGTCGGTAGCCTTATATGGTATACCCATGGGTCAAAAATGGGCCTCGACATAGGCTTTGGAATTTATGGGGAACGCCCCAAACTTAGTATGAATATGCGAGCAATGAACATTGCGATAAGCTCTCACGGAAGCGCTCAAAGATTTGCGCAATTTGGACCCGAGCCACTTTGTGGAATCTCAAAAAGCCTGGCCTGATTGGCGATTGAAACTCCTTATTATAATAAATCACTTAAGATCTGGTCTGATACATCAAGCTCAGAACGTTATAAAACACCTTGATCCGGGTTTATGATCGTAAATTCGCTTCGCTTCTCTGGGATTAAGTAAGAATAAACTGCGTATTCTGGCAAGAGCCCTGACTGCACACTGTTGTCTAATAAAATACATGTCCATCCGGGGGCAAAGCAACAAAGATGTGCCGATTCTGTTCCTTAACGAAAAAAAACACCTCTGCACATCCTGATTGTGGACCCTTATGCGCAAACGTAACATTCATCTGGAAAACTATGTACTTTGCCCAGAAGAAGTGAAATTGCTAATTAAATTGCACAGCTAATCAACTCCTTCAATTTATCGAACACATAGGGGGCTTAGCAGTGAACTATAGCCATAGCAGCGATCACAATAGATCCTATAGGTCGCAGTGATACTGGTCTTTCTGGACCTGCATAGCTGCTCGCATAAATAATAGCAGCATAATTCTGTTATATGTTAGGCGAGAGTGGGGAACCGGCGACACATTTTACTTGTTACGGAGTTGTAAGAGTGGATATAGTTAAAGAATATGGGAAATGCCAGAACGATCTGGTACCTATCTATAGATGGCTTTATAACTATCTCTTAACACTAGATGTAAAATAACTCACAGAATACTTACGTAAAATAGCAACTTAATGCTGTTGCGTTTCTCATGGTGAGTGTAGAGAACCAAAGACTTATGGAAATCAGGCATTCCTTCTTAGTCCTCAGGAACTATTTTAAAATTAGAAGAAACCATGTTTCAATTTACAGAGTCAGTTAAACTAATAAACACGTATAAAAATCATGTAGTGCCGTTAAAGGAGAAATTGGTAAAATAGTTTTAGAAAACTGAAATACAATTTTAAACGGAAACACAGGTTTTAGAAATTCTGAATAGAATGTTTGAAAATATTTGCGGAGAATTCAGCGAATTGAAAATTGAAGCCAATCTTGTGCCGTTACTGAAAAACGCTCCAAATACATCAGTTGAGGTTGAACGCAGTTTTTTAACATTTATACATTTATTGTCGCTCAGGAGACAGTTATTTGATCTGATTAATTTAGAAAAACACATTATTATTCAATGTTACCATAAAATAATGATTTCTAACTTAATTTATTATTATTTGATGTATATATGACCTATGTATGTATTTAAATAATGATCTTACTAATATTATAAATGTATTAAAAAAGTTTGTGGGAATGTATGGATGTTTGTTACTCTTTTACACAAAAGCTACTGAATGGACCTTTCAATAATATAGCTCATACATCAAAATAACATAAAAGCTATAATTCATAAAAATATTGTGTAAATTGGCCAAAATATAACGATAAATTTTAAGTAAGACTGAAAAAAATCTGTCATCTGAGAGATATTTTGGCGTGAGCATCACGCAAAAACCTGTGGACCCATTTGGATTGGATTTTCACTGGCAAATAGCTCATATTATAAGGAGTAACCTAGGCTACTTTTATTTTAGGGTTCTGCGTAAAATAATTCCTCGCGGGCGAAGTCGCGGGGAACAGCTAGTATGAAATAAATTAAAAAAAGCAAACAATTGTTCCTTATTGGTTTATTAGTATGCATATTTTGTTTGTAATTGCGCATATTTTGCTTAAGTGACTATAATTTTGATGTTGTTGAAAAATATAATATGTGCGCATATTTGTCTACTTGTTAGTGCATATAATACGCTCTCTATTCATCACCATTATCATCATTGTAGCTTCTCACAAGTCAACCGTTATTCCTAATTGTCTGTCTGTCATTGGCCTGAATATTTTGAAACGAAACGGGATGTTAATTCATTTTATGCGTCAAAAATATTTCTTTTTATTGCCTCTACATACCTGAATAATTATCTGTCCTACCAGCCATTAAATAAAATTATTTTTCCATATACCTTAGGGACAGATGTATATGGAAAAATAATTTATATAGAGAGAATGCTGTAAACCACTTGAAACATTGGATATATACATTTTTAAGTGTATGGCGGACCTCCTCTCCCCCACTAGATAGAGTGACGACCGTAAGATATGCAGAAAGTCGATAGATGCAGGTGTCTTAGGACCGTGCTTTGTGGCATTCCTTGGAGGAGGCCTATGTTTCGCAGTGGACTTGTGAAAGCTGTAATGATGATGTTGATAGATGTGTAAATATATAAAAAAATCCCAGACAGTCAAATCTCGCGCATACACGTCTCTCGAAGAATTGGAGCGTCGCATAGTGGAACAAGAGAGGCGAGCAGCTCACGCCCAGGCTGAGTACCGGCGGGAGCTGGAGAGAGCTTCCCTCGCCTTGGAACACAAGGAGGGCATTATCAGGAGCCTTATAGACAAGGTGGCTGATGTGGAGGAAGTAAGGTGAGTAAGGCAGCCACAAAAAAAATATATTTTACACTCGCTTTTCCATAATCCATCCACCGTGTACTGACGCGGCGTAAGAATATACAATATTCTATCCTGTGGGTATTGTAAAAGGCGACAGAGGGAAACTGAACCAGGAGATGGGTAGCAGCATCTTCCTGATAACAGCGGATTAAAAATAAAAAACTGTGTTTGCCAGCCCGCTTGACAAGGGTGGTAACTATGGAAAATGTTCTTCTCATGAAGTGACCTATGAGCCTATGTTCAGTAGTGGAATTGTGATAGGCTGTAATTATAAATCGCTTTTGGCTATATCATTAACTTTATTTCTACATAGGATCCAGTTTTGGGTAGGCACATCTCATATCTGCCTTAAAGTAACTGTATACCGATTCAACGGTTATTGGAATCAATGAATAATACACATTATACATTGACTCAATAATCGTTGAACCAATTCCTATATACATTGAACCAATATACTTACATAAATAAGAGCCGTGGTAACTCAGGGACTAAACGCTTGTTGTAAAATTCACAGTATGCGAACAACCCGGGTTCGAATCCGACAGCACCAATGAAATTGTTAAATTAAATTTTAAGTGCTGTTAACTACCTTTTCGGCATTTAAGAAAAACATTTTAAAGAAACCTATATGTTTGAAGAAATTAAAAATGCATAATTTCGAAGACACGTGAAGTTCGCCAAAATGGAGCACCGCGGCGGACAAAGCCTCGCCCTAAAAACTCTCAAAAATAAATGGAGCTTTGTGCCTAGCTGTGGGACGTATAATATAGGCCGTATCTTGAATATTTTATACATAAATAACGTAACGCATGTACTCCCGGACCATGCATAATTTGCATCGTCAGTTCATTTTTTTTAATAGGCTACCTAAGGGTGACAAACGATGCTGTGGTCCATAGACACCTAAATCTATCATTGATTAAGATTGAAAATGTGTAATGTATATGCCTTTTCACCCCTCAGGAGTAAGAAAGAGTGCCTAGTTTCTAATAAGAACTGCCTCCGGATCTCTACAGTTATCATACGAAACACAGCAGCATTGAGCTGCTATTTTACTCTAGTATTATGTGAGATTTATGAAATAAGAAACTTTTAAAGATTTTAATTACAACAAGTAACTTGCTTCTGAATGCCAACAAAACTAAATGCCTTAAACTTTCTTTAACAAATGTAAAGCAGCGTGCCTTACTCTTAAGTTGAACAATCTAATATTTGAATAAGTAGATTCCACGGTTTTCCTTTATATTACTATTGACTGTAGCCTACAATCGAGTCCGCATAAAGAAGCCTTATCAAGGAGACTTAGTCCTACTGTGTATGCAGATAAAAAATAGACTGTTAACCGATGTAGATGCAGCAAAATCAGTTTATTTCAGCTATTTCCAGTGTTCTGTGCTATAGATTATCGTTGTGTGGATTAGCAACTGTTAAATATATAAATAATGTATAAATATGTCGGAGCGTCTATAAAATACCCGGTTGGATCGAGGTAGAATGGAGGGTATATCGAGAAACCCCCTCTTGAGTCTGTAGTATAAAATTTACTGTAGGTATCGTGCGCGGGAGAGTTCGCTCAAGTCATTCAACGAGTGTGGTCATTCTACTAGTGCTAAGATAGTGTCGTGGTTTTGTTCTTTGTTGTAATTCTTCTAGTGCAGGCAAGGAGGATTAGTGTTGCTGAGAGGCTGCCCTGTGTTACATTGAGATAGTTGCTGTTGGTTTACATATTTTGTTGTTATCATGTAATTACGTACCTCACGTTACACTGGTGTGTGATTGTGGCAGAGACGTGTTACGGTGTCGTCGAACTGTAATTTCACTATACTGAATGTATAGTGCGTTACGTTGTCTTATTACTGATAATGATTAAACTGCGTAAGCAAGAGAGCAAGTTGAACATCCGCTCTCACACTTTTATTATTTTTAACAATTAACGCTATCCTGATTTCCGAGATCACAAGTGGGATCTCCTGTTGTCATTTCCGATAAATATATATTTATACTGCAGATAAGAGCTATTCTCACGTGTTAATAAAAATCCATCTAATTACAGTCAACCTGCAAATCAAAATTAAAATCAAAAATGATTCTTTTACACAGATTGAGTCAAACCAACACCCACCGTCTGCAAGGCATTGTGATGGATTCATCGTCTGAATCAGCTTCAACAAAGGAGAAAGAAAAGAAAGAATCTAAAGCTCCTGTCAAACTAGTCCCGGTTTCAAGCGGCTATTTTCAAGAAAAAGAAAGAAAAGGGAAAACTAAATAAAAGAAAAGCAATTAAAAGTTGAATAGTGTAATTAATAAATCATAATACGAGTACATAATTGATTCAGACAAATGTATTGTTTTATAAAACTAAATACTTCACTAAAACTTAAAACTTTTACCTAAAGTTTTAATATATTCGCTCTTGCCAGTATTTATCGCAAACCGCCTTAAAATTAACGCGTCTCTATGTCAATGAGACCGTTGTTTGCATGAGTGACCTTTACGGGCTGAAACAAATAATGTAGATGTAGGTGTACCTTCGCGTCTCTTTCTAATCTCGTCTGACATATTTTATTTTAGAATTGTGAATGTATTATGAATGTTTGGCATCTTAATCTCTGATAAATGTTAGCATTGAGGTACAGGCTACTCACTTGTCAGAGGTTGGTGTGATCGTGACCTAATTAGCTTTGATGTTACGAGAGTGATTGAAAGTTTTAGAACAGGTCAAAGTAACAATGTCAATGAAAAAAATAAAAATTCAATATAAAACTCTAATAAGCTAAACAAACTAAGAACAAATTGATATTTGATTTGTATGTTATTTGCTTATGTAAATCGGCGGTAATTTGAGAAGTGTGTGTAGCGCGGCATGAAAAGTTAAACGCTAGAAATTTTTCCCTTGAGTGATATGCCTGCATCTTCCAAGTGTGCAAGTTTAGCATTCTTACTATTTTTAACGCTTAACCTTGCTAGTAATTTTATGTACATTAGAGTTTACTTTTTTGTGTAATTGTAAAAATGCAAATAGAACCTTTGTTAATCAATTGAATATATAAATATTGTAAATTAGATTTAACTATTTCATTATTGTTGAAAAAGAATAAGTGTAAATAAATATATAATTAAAAAACAACCAGTCTTTTTTATATTTCTTACTCGTAAATTTATGTTGACTCCAAGCAAAAAAGCAACACCATGATTTTTAATTAACATATTAAGGTCATTTTTTGTGGCTTTAAGATAGTGCTACAAGGTTAATGCAGGTTGATGATTTGACCGATATTTAAAAATAGTTTCTAAAATTGTTTGTTGTTTTGTTTCTCACTAGTTTAATTTGTAAGTACTGTTTACCAATTTATAAAAAAAGGTGCGAGGCGACATAATCCGTCCTTGTCATTGCGAGGCGGGTATGCGTAGGCATTTCCCCATGTTAAAAAAATGGGCTCTCCATTTTATTAACATCCATCAACTTCCTGCATCTATTCCAACTCAGAAGGGAAATCGGTTTGTAGTTCTTCAATAGAGTCTTGTTGAAGCACAAGACCACCACACTTTTGCTCCACACCTTGAAGAACATTAAGTATCGGTTTTCTATCCGACTTTCAGACGCATCCTCGCTTAAGGCCTTGCTGTTTTAAGGTGCTGGAGAGTCATTCTAATCTCGTGCAGACTGACGTCCAGGAAATCATCAGAATAGTGTCGGATGAGACACAGCTGTCCGTGGAACCTCTCAATCTGACTCAAAATCTCAAGTGTCTCGGTGAAAAATACACATATATCACCACAACACACCACACTACTCGTATATACCAGATGTTAAACACGACAACCCCAAAGCGTCTGGTCCGGTACTGTCTGGTACCTACTTCGATCGTTAATTCATGTTAGGGCCGTATACGTGGTAGAGCCATGTTGCAGCTATATTATGGTTGTAGCACGAATGACACGGCAATAAAAGAAATCGAGGAATGGTAAAATAGAATAGAATAGAATAGAATGATTATTATTCAATATTTATTACAAGTAATTCTTATTGAAAGTCATTTTTGTACTTTACCACTGGTTCGAAAAAATCCTCTGACCTGGAAGAACCAGCAAGAAACCCAACGGGACTTTTTTAAATAAATTTTACAATATAAATGATTACAAACTATTTACAAAATTTATTTTAGAAACAGCTTGCAAGGTTGCAAGCGACCACCTCATTCCCAGGGGTTATTATCAACCATGTATTCATTTATATTATAATAACCCTCTTTATACAGTTTTTGTTTAATTAAATATTTAAACTTTGTAATAGAGATACCTTGTATATTTTCTGGAACTTTGTTGTAATAGCGTATACATAGCCCAAAGAATGAATTACTGACTCTGTGGCGTCGAGAGACTCGTATCGCTAGCACAGAGTAAAGAGTAAGGACTCACTAGCTTGTATTTGTTCCTAGTGTTTACAGAGTGTATATCACGTTTTTACTTAAACTATTTTTGTTTTTGTGAACATACATTAAATTTTCGTAAATATACTGAGAGGACAAAGTTAATATATTTATTTCTTAAATTTTTTCTCTAAGAGACTCTCGGTTTAAGGTTGTAAATAGCTCTTATGGCCTTCTTCTGCAAAATAAAAATAATTTCTAAATTAGCCGCATTTCCCCATAGTAAAATCATCATAGCGTCGAGAGTGATGCCAAGAAAAACAGAGGATTCAACAGGGCTCAGTTCTTCCCCATTTAAAAACACATTGGTATTCAGATTTTTAACATTCGTTGTTGTAAATTTAATACATTTAGTTTTATTGCCGTTTAAATTCAGATTATTAACGTTAAACCAATGAACTAATTTTGATATAACATTGTTCACTTCGTCGCATTTAAATGATAGACGTTTAAGTTTAAAAATCAAGTATCATCAGCAAATAATACTATATCATGATTATCCCCTACATGGGAAGGTAAGTCATTAATATACACTAAAATAGGAATGACCTATCTTTACGGACGACCCGGAAGAACTTTTACCATTGATAATAACTTTGTGCATTCTATTAGTATAAGTTTAAGCATTGTGTTCTTGGCACCTTCCAGTAGCTTAATTACCAGTACTGTAGCTTCCAGATTAATGGTCACAAAACACACTCAAAGCATCCTCTGAATTCTCCCATGCACAAAAAATATGTTTTATAAGTTCGACTCCGTCGGTAGTCGAGCGACCCCTTCTAAAACAAAATTAATTTTTATGAAGCAATTTATTTATATTAAAAAAACTTAATATCTGATGTAAAATAATTTTTTCAAAAATTTAACTTAATGTTGGTAGTACAGAAATTGGTCTAAAATTGGCGGAGTCTAATGTACAACCAGATTTAAATAAAGGTAGGACTAGTAAAGTTTCATTAGATCAGGAAACACACCAGATTCGACGCTTGTATTACAAATTGTGGCTAAATAAGGTGCTATAGTATCTATAGTTATACTGCTGTCTTTCGTATGGTGAGTGTAGATAATCGGAGATCCTTTTTCCTGGAAACGAGGCTTTTAATCTTAGCCCGCAGCGGTGATAACGCATCTGCATTTTGGTTCTTAATCAAGGGCCGATGACCGGGAATGCAGTTTTTCTTAACTCTAAATTCGACGACGTAGTTCCAAGAACAAATTTCTTTTAGTTTCATATTCTTCCATAGTGTGCCATCTAAATGGATCATTCGGTATAGTAACAGCTAATTTACATCAAGGACTTTAAAATTGTAGTTTTAAAACTGCGCTCGTACGACGACGATAAAAAAATTAAGGCCACTATTATGTGGGCGAAATTAAGATACCTAATTACATCGGCTGAAAACATAATAATTAGCGCTTGAGTAACACTAGAACACATTTCGCAAATATAAAGTAACTAGCTGTTCCCCGCGACTTCGCCCGCGTGTAATTTAGGGGTTATGTTTCAAATGGATTGAAATAACAATAACTTGACCCGGTATCGTTATTTTTTTTTTAATAAAACTGTCCTGTACTGTGAATACCTCACAGCTTGTTACTATACTTGTACCTACCAAGACGGATCCCTAGGCAAAAAACGAGTCCTGCCACCTTGTAAACGTAGTAAATACGCTTATATCAACTATACAAATAAATAACATTGAAGTGTCTATTTGTAATGTCAAAATAACAGCTTTTTAGTAAATGCATTTAAACGTATATACGGTATTTATAACAAAAACGCTATTTTTAAAATTTTTGTCTGTCTGTCTGTCTGTTTGTTCCGGCTAATCTCAGAAACGGCTGGACCGATTTCGACGGGACTTTCACTGAAAGATAGCTGATGTTATAAGGAGTAACTTAGCCTATATTTTAGAAAAAGAGTTAGGGTTCCGCGCAACATAACTAAAACCCTAAACTACACGCGGGCGAAGTCGCGAGGAACAACTAGGCATGTAATATTTGGTTAGTTTAAGATGACACTAACTAGCTGATACAGATAATCAGCTAATTTTAAATACGTTTACCTTCATTAGCTGGATTTGTTCTAAACGGCAAACATCTAATTCACTCGTGGTTTAATATTCTTGAAAGAAAAACATTTCGCTTTATTTCGTATTAAGATAAATAGTAGAACCAAAGTAACCGACTTAGCCTAACGGATCAGTGAGTTGAAGTGGCATATAGCTCGAAGGATCGACAGCCTATGAGAAGGAAAGGTTGCCTCGTACCGGTTACGGAAGTGAAGCGCGACTTCCTCTACGTGGAATGAGGACCTGGTAAGTCGATGGATGCAGGTTATCATCAGTTTCATCACCAATATTCACATATTACGAAACCCAACTATAAGTCTTGAACTGTATGACGGCCATTAGACGCCCACTACACGCCTAGTCAAGCATCAATCAGTTCGATCAATCATGATTGATGTTTTAATGATAGAATAATTTCGACATTACACGCTCATTCTGACTGATCGTCAGTCAAACCCAAAATTTCAGAGGGAAAGGATGGATATTCGTGTGCTGTAGGTAATTTTGATTGCATTTTTGTGTACAAAACGTAGAAATAGAAGGCGCTAGGTAAAAGACTGACTTTTAAAAAGGGATTTCTATACCCATATTAACTTATTTATTTTATTTATTTATTTAAAAACTTGATTGTTCTTACTAATAAAAAGGTTACAAAGGGCGGACTTAATGCCAGTTAACATTCTCTGCCAGGCAACCCATGGCGTGGTGAGAAATTAGTGGCAGGTGATTTAATTA